CCCTCTTTCTTATCTCCCTCCCTCCATCAATCTCCCTCCTTCTCTGCAATTACCATTCTTCAGCTCCTTCCCCATGCATATTGGATTGGACTTAGCATCCTGTCTGCCTTTTTTCTTTCTCCTTCCATTTCCCTTCTCAATTCATTTTCTCTCTCCCTCCCTCTGTCCTCTCTCCCCATTCATCTGCCCTAAACATTCATCCCTTCCCCCTCTTTTTTCCTCACCCATTTGCTCATGGTATTGCCTGGAACATTTAGGAAAAGTTCCCCGTCCTTGTCCCCTTCAACCCCCTTATCTCTGGAATGTATTTTGTGGGGTGTTGGGGAAAGGGATAGAGTTTCCTTCACTCACTGTTGTCCATGATCTCCACTCTCTTCAGCTGCAGACGCTGTCTCTTCCCCCTTTGGCTAGTCCCCTACTTTGGCTGAGTGTAAGAGACACACAGCCACTCCCAGAAAACGTTCCACTTTTGGTCGTTTTCAAAATACAATTTGAGGGGGAAAAACAGAAAAGTAGCAGAATTTGGTGTTATAATGCAGATGGAATGAGAGCAGGGGGAGAGGAGGGGCGAGGAGAAGCAGTCCACACCCTTGTTCCAGTTCCCTCTGGATGGGCCAGTGCCAGGGACAGATTCTGTTTCTATGTCATATACAACAGACTAACACAGCTACCCCTGTGAATCTTTCACTCTGCTGTCCAGTGCAAACACCCTCTCTCCCTGTCATGCCCTGTCTTCTCTCCCCACCTCCCCCTTCTCTCTCACCCCTCTTCTGTGTCACTACATTTTCGTCACTCAGCCATTTGCTGTTACCTCATTTAGGGTATGGCTACACTAGCAAGTTCACAGCAGTGGAGCTGCAGTGATGCAGCTATACCACTGTAAGCTCTAACCATTCTGAGCCAACAGGAAAGAGCTCCCCCTCAGCTTAATGACTCAAGCCCCACAAGCAGTGCAAGCGATGTCTCTCCCACTAACATAGAACTGTCTTACACCAGTCCTAGGTCATGTAAATTGCGTCACTCAGCGGGGTGGCTTTTTCACACTCTTGAACAACACAAGTATATAGTAGTAAATACAGACATAGCCTTAGTCTCTGTCTCCCTCTCCCTATCTTCCTGCTATTCTCTCATGCACTGAAGCACTGCCAGGACTCACCTTGGCTTCCTTAACAAATGTTTAACTGTTATTTAAAAACTCAGAGCCTGGAGAATATAAGAAGTGAGGCTGACAGTGGGTACGCTTTGCTATTCTCTCTGTAAAAATGAGGCACTCTGTGGTACTGTAAAGACTAACACATTTATTAGAGCATAAACTGCAGCCCTAGTAGCTTGTGCTCTAATAAATGTGTTAGTCTTTAAGGTGCTTCAGGGTACCTCATTGTTTTTGATGAAAGGCCTGTTCTACGCTAGGGCTTTACACGGAATTTAGCCCCCCACAGTCACTTCTCTAAGTGATTTGTCCACACTGCCTAGCCCGTTGCTCTGCCCTCAGGGGGCACAGAAATCGAATCCTGTAGTTTTGCTTTTCACAAGGAGTAATACTATTCCTGACCATGCATGACTGAAATTACGCTAAAGTAAATGCTGCAGTGAAAGAAATCTGACCCCCATTGGCCTCCAGGAGGCCTCCTATAGCTGTCTGCTCTGACTCTTCTGGACAACTGCTCTCCTCTTGCTGAGTCCTGGGAGAAAGGCCTGTCCCACATGGCCAGCTCCAAGCAAGCAGCACACTGTGGTAGATAATGACATGAGTGCCCCCAACGTTCCCTCAGACACTCCAGCGGCTGTGAGTACTTCTGCTCCCACAGCCTCCACTGCCCAGGGCTGCAGAAGAGCTCCAGCCAGGAGTGCATGGGAGATCCTGGACCTCACTGAGGTGTGGGGGGAGGAGTCCATCCTCCATGATCCCCAGACCAAGAAAAGGAACAGATGGCAGAATTGCTGTCAGCTATTTCAGGACCCTTGAGCAGTGCAGGCTGGAAATCAAGGAGCTGCAGTGGTCCCACCAGAAGGCCCAGAAGAAGCACAGATGATCTGGGGCAGCACCACATATCTACTGCTTTTATGACCAGTTGGATGCCATTTGGGGGAGAGGGGCAGCTAGTTCCCCTACCCTGGTTGTTGAGTCCACTGAAAATCAGCCTACAGGAGGGCAGGGTAGTGAAGGGTCCTGCGGAGGAGGAGGAGACCACCCAGACGATGGTGCCCAAGATCCAGGAGCTGTTCCTCATCTAGCAGCTTGTCCCCGCCTTCCATGCCAGGCCACTGACAATCCCAGGGAGGGCACTTCTGGTGAGTTCTCTAACTTTCTCTAACTACAAGCATGGCCAGGTTATGAGCTGTGAGGGGTGGTATGCTCTTTCTCCTCCTATTCTGAATGGAGGGCACGGAACAGCTTGTTCTAGATGGAGCACCAGTCTGGAGTACTCAGCTCCATGAAGCTCTCACATAGGAACCGCTCAATCCTTCTCACAAGGTTCCTGGGGAGGGCAGTCTTATTCCATCCTTTGCAGTAGGACACCTTCCCATGCCAAGCCACCAGTAAGTAATTTGGTGTCATGGAACCACACAACAGCGTAGCATAAGGCCCAGTTTCATGGCCACAATCAGTCAGCAGTCACTCCTGATCAAACATAGTGATGCAGAGAAGATTGATATCTCACATGGAAACCTACTGAGAGGAGAGGGAGGGGAACCTATTAGCACTCTCTCAGGCAAGTAGCATACACTGCTCACACACACATTCTCCCCACCCCCTGCAGACAGGGAAAGCAGCGCTCTCTCTGTGGGAAGCTATGGGTGCTGCATCCAGCATGGGCTGATACAGCAGGAAGCTGGCCTGCTGCTTTCCCCTCCTTCATCATGCCTGCAGGCTCCTGGCCTGGCTGGAAAAATTGCACTGTTCTGAGAAGCCGCATGTGCCAGACACAGACCCGCTGTTGCCAGCTCCCTCCCAACCACAGGCTCATGGCCTAGCTGGCCCCTTACCATGCCTGCTTGCCTCCAGAGCAAGGGTGTCCTGATGCTCCCCTGAGACATCTGTACACCTGCTTTTAAAGCCAAAATGTGACCTTGCACAAAACACATCGCTGTTGTCTGAACTGAGATCTTCAATGTACGCTAAGAGATTAGGGGAAGGCTTCACACAGTGTATCTCCTGTGATGTCTGGCCGTGTAACTTTTCTTGACAGCTGGGTCAGCTGCCAGCTTGGTGCATTCCGCACCTGCTCAGCTGGCTGGGATCTACAAGTGAAAATACACTAGGGACGAACTCTTGAGGGAGCAAATGGATTGACTGAACTGCCTTGTGCAGGAGATCATGGCAGAGTGGCAAGGCCAGGTCACCGAGCAGAAGAAGAGGAGATCCAAATAAGAGGCCAAGAAGGCCAAGTGAGAGAAGAGCAGGACCGAGTAGCATGAGAGGAAGTTGGAGCAAGAGGAGGGAAAGGCTGTCCGGGAGCAGCTCACACGCCAGCAGGAGATGATGTTCTCCACCCTCACCTCTGTGATGGAGCATGTGACAACCTGACTGGAATGGGCCATCTGCCAGAACTCCACTCACCCCATAGCTTCCACCATCATGGACCCAAGGGGCCACCAGGGCTCCAGGACACAGGGGGCACCCCCCTTCTGGTATCCAATTTATTCCCTTTCCAGCTTTTTTCCACAAATAAACACTCCTGATAGTTGAATAACAGTCTTTTTATTGCTTGAACTGTCGGGGTAGGATGAGGAAGACGGGTCAGGTGGGTATGGGAGGGGAATGAAAAGCAAACAGGGAATGCAGGGGTCCCTTGTGGAGAGCCACAGGTGACAGTCTCACAACTGGCCTTGCATAAAACTGTCCTTTAAGGTGTCTCTGATTAGCACTGTCCCTTGCTGTGCTATCCTATGGTGCTAGTATCTGGTTGCTCAAATTTCCTGGTCAGCACTCTGCCTCAGCCCCCTACCCTTATTTTCACACATGTTGTGGAGCACACACGTTGCCATCACAAAGGGGCTGTTGTGCTCGCTGAGGTCCAAGCAAGTGAGGAGACACCTGAACCTCCCTTTTAAACATCCGAATGCACATTCCACACCATTCTGCATGTGCTCAGCCTGTTACTGAACTTCTCTTTCCTGGGGTCCAGGCTGCCCATGTAGGGCTCCATGAGCCAGGGGAACTAGGGCTAGACTGGGTTGCCCAGGATCACAATGGACACATCCACCTCTCTGACTCCGATTGTGCAATGGAGGGAAAAAGTGCCGGCGTGCATCTTTCAGAAGAAAAGGAGTTCCTAATATGTGCACATCATCTGCTTTTCTTGACCATCCCACATTCCCACGTTGATGTTGGTGCAGCATCCTTTGTGATCCACGAGCGCCTGCAGCACCATAGAGAAGTACCCCTTGCAGTTTATGTATTCTGAGGCACACTGGTTGGGGGCCAGGATGGGATGTGTGTTCCGTTTATGGCACCCCCGCAGTTAGGGGAGCCCATGGTGGCAAAGCCCTCCACTATGGTGTCCACATTCCCCAGAGTCACAATGGCACATGACTGATGGCTTTCTCTACTTGTAGAAGCAGAACCCTGACTGTGGATTTCCCCACCCCAAACTGGTTCCCGACTGAGTGGTAGCTGACTGGCATGGAGAGCTTCCAGAAGGCAATGGCCATGCACTTCTGCACATTGAGAGTGGGTGTCGTGCAGGCACCATGTCGCCTCTGCAAGCCATTTTCAGAGTTCTAGGAAGGTAGCCTTGTGCATGTGGAAGTTCTGTAGACACTGCTCATTGTCCCATCCCTGCATGATAATGCA